GTATCATATGACCTCACTGATATGAGGAATTCTTAATCTCAGGAAACAAACTGAGTGTTACTGGAGTGGTTGGGGGTGGGAGGGATGGGGTGGCTGGGTGATAGACATTGGGGAGGGTATGTGCTACGGTGAGCGCTGTGAATTGTGTAAGACTGTTGAATCACAGATCTGTACTTCTGAAACAAATAACGCAACATATTTTAAGAAAAAAGAAAAAGAAGAAGATAGCAGGAGAGGAAGAAAAAAAAAAAAAGAGGAGCTTTGTAAAGCGAGGAGAAACCAGAGGACAAGTTACACTCTTATGGGAGGTAGGGGCACAGACAGGGTCAGCAGAGTGGTCCTAGGGAGCTCCAAGCCCCTTTCACCAACCTTCCCAACCAGAACAATCTCAGTCATAATCACTGTGTGTGTCTCTCTCCCCATCAATCTGTCTATTCATCCATCCTCTCTGTGCCTCTGTCCACATCTCTGTCTCTGTCTCTCTCTTTCTTTTCCTGTCTGTCTCTGTGTGTGTGTGTGTGTGTCTCTCTCCGTCTGTGTCTCTCTCTCCCTTCCCTTCTTTCTACCCCACTCTCTTCATGCACTCACTCCCTAGCCTCCGGGATGCAGTCCACTCCATCATCAGTACCACTCTAGTCCAAGCCACCATCATTTCTCACATGTCCAACCTGACAGCCTCATAACTTGTCTTCCCACCTCTGCTCTTGCTTCCCTTCCATCAATCCTCCACCTCCCTGACAAAGCAAATGTTTTAAAATGCAAATCTAATTGTGGCACTCCCCTGCTTAAAACTAGGGATAAGACCAAACTCCCTGACACAGTCTGCAAGGCCCTTCCCATTCTCCAACCACATCCAGCTCCACGCACCACCCCCCACTCACTCTACCCCAGCCTCCCTGGTCTTCCAGTTCTTCAAAGAGTCCTTCTCTATCCCACCCCAGGGCCTTTGCATTTGCTCTTTCCTCTGACCTGGGATGCTCCCCTCACCCCTAGCCCCACATCCCTTTACCTAATTAACCCTTACTCATCCTTCATTTTTCATCTCAGATTCAAATATCACTTCCTGAGAGAAGCCTTCCCTGATTGCCAGACTACATCAGATCTCACTGGTACATGTTTTCTCATACCTTTGACTTTTTCTTTTTTTTTTTTTAACGATCTTATTTATTAATTTGACAGAGAAAAAGAGCACAAGCAGGGGGAGGGGCAGGCAGAGGGAGAGGGAGAAGCAGGCTCACTGCTGAACAGGCAGCCCAATGTGGGGCTCGATCCCAGGACCCTGGGATCATGACCTGAGCCAAAGGCAGACCCTTAACCGACTGAGCCATCCAGGTGCCCCCCTTTTGACTTTTTCTTGATAGCACTTATCCAAGTTTAGAATTGTGTATGTGTGCATGTGTGTGTGTATCAGATGAATTGATTCATGTCTATGTCTTGCACTTAAGATTCAGGAAATGAGAGATCATGTCAACTTCTTAAAACAACTGTATACCCAGAACTCAGTAAGTGGCTAGTACACACTTCCAGTTTGTTACAGTCCCCACCACTCCCTTTTGCATTCCCAACTCTAAGTTGTGTCAGTAACAATTTATGTTTGTGCTGCCATTTTTCCTAGAGAAAAGAATTATTCCTTTAGATCACTGCCTCCATCAAAGGGTAGAGAAATGGAGGCTAGACCAAGAGGGCCAAGTGTTTCAGGAAAATGAGAGACAGCATATTTCTTTATGGAAGTAAAGAATGTACAATAAATAGTTCTCTCTCCTATACTGCCCTAAAATTCTTAATTTTTGAACAAGAGGCCCTGTATTTTCATTTTTGCATTAGGCCCTGCAGCGATGCGGCAAGTCCTGATCAACACACATTAAATGTTCGGTAAAAGTCTGTTGAAAGAATGAATAAGTGAATGAATTTAGCTAACCACAGTTGATGCTCATCTTACAGAGTCAGTCAAGTGGCTCAGCCCTTGAGCAAAATTAAACAGACTTTGTTGTTGACTCAACCTGTCCCTTCGCAGGACTAAAACCTGAACTAGGACCTTAAAGTTCTTCTCATCTAACCCATCCACTTCCCAGGAAACTTTGACCTTGACAGGCTGCCAAGGTTCTCCATGGAGCCAGCAGAGTACCCCATCCAATTCCCCCATTCTCCAGATCACAGTCTGCACTGTTTCCACCTCTCTACTTCCTCTCGTCCTGTTCAACATCTCCAAAATAAGGCATACCTGGTTTCTTTCATCCCCATTGTACAGATGAGGAAATAGAGGCTCAGAAAAAAATAATGTCCATCAAGATTCCCCATGCAGCCCTGTTTCTCTGCCCAGCCAAGTTTGTAGTTTTATAAAGAGTTTCTATCTAGATCCCCAGAATCCAAATCACATAAATTATTTTTAGAGTGGCTAGTCAGACATGATAATTACATGCTAAATCTGAGACTATGCCCCCCAACCCTCACAGCCACCCACATTCTGACACTCTGGCCTGCAAAGACAAGCAAAGATAAACTCATCTCCCCATGCCCTACATGTCTTAGGTCAGTGGGTGCTGGGGCCTTCCATTCTTTCATTGTTTATTGAGAGTCTGCAATATGCAGGCACAGTACAGAAGCTGGTGATGCAACTGTGAACAAAACAGACAAAAGGCCCTGCCTCTCTAAGAGGGGAAACAGATAAATAAACTAATTAAATAGACTGTATATGGTATGACCACGGTGCTGAGCACTATGGAGAAAAGTTAAGCAGGGGAAGAGCAGAGGAAATGAGCATTTTGGAGGGTAGTAGTGGAGATTTCAATTTGAAACAGGATTGTTTGAGAAAGACTTGAAGGAGGTGAAGAGGAGGGTTAATACGGCTTTCCGGAGAAAGAGCACTCCAGACAGAGGGAATAGCCAGTGCAAAAGCCCTGAGGCATTATCCTTGATTCACAATGTTGAGAGGTCCCTGAATAGATTGGGGAGCTTAGTCAAACCACATACACTCCCCCTCTTAGCCCCAGCTTCTCATCTCAGTTTGGTTGCCTGCAGACAAATCTAATCTATAGGGTTTTGAACGATTATTTATTGAACCTCTGCAATGATACTGCTTTATTTATCAACACAGTGGAGTTTTTGTTTTGTTTTTGTTCGGGGTAGTCACATTTAAATGGGAGAGTTCACAACAAAATTTCAATATCCAACTTGGCTTGGAATATCAAACCTGTGCTCACTAGGCCCACATGACTCTTGGTAATACTCTGTCCCTTTAGGGGGGCACAAGCCTCTCTGTTCACCACAGACCCAGCTAGACTCAGCAGATCCCTCCCTTATGCAGACTGCCTGGCCCTGGCTGCATTGGAGTTTGCTACCACCCCCACCCCCAATGCCTGCCTTGGGGAGCCCCTAACAATGATGGGGAATGGACACATGCCCCTTGTTGAGCATGAAAAGCAGGGGTCTCCTTCATCTTAGGAGACTTGAAAGAGGCTGGGGAAAGCCCAGCCAGTTCCTTCTCCCTAGGAATGGGTGTAGGGGCGCCGGGGGCAGAACAGAGAGGGGTCTTGGGGTTTTCTGAGCTATCACATGCTCTTGCATTGATTGGCAGCGGCTACAGCCAGCCCCTGGAAGTGCCCCTCCTCCATATTCTACAGAAGCTAATTCTCACACATGCTGTCTTGAGCCCCAGATTTCTCTCCCTACCCAAATCTGTTGTGGCCTCTAGAAGAGCTGCACTAGGAACTCTCCACCCTCCTACACTGAGGAAAAAGGGGAGTGCCATTCACCCCAACTCTCCAAGACTGTCTAGGTCCCACCTGCTGACCTCTCCTATACTTCACACAACTCTCAAACTAGACCACCCCTAGATGATGCCCACATGGGTTTCTGTGTGTCTGGGATGTCATGTGAGTGTGGTCTTTGTGCATGTTGATAAGGGTGCTCCTGTGTTTTCACGTCCCTGGGTGAGAGATGAGAGGGTCTCCGCTGCCCTCCTGAGTGAGCCCACATGACTGGGTATTGTGTGTCTTTGTGTGAGCGTGGGGGAGTGTATGTGTGAATGGTTGCAACATCCTTATTCCTGACAGAAGGTCTCAGTGTGGCGGGCTTCTCTAAGCCAGCCTGCAACCCCTTCAAAGGCACTCCACTCAGGGACAGTCCACCTCTGGCCTTCCCCAGAATCAACACACGCACTGAGATGCATGCACACTTCCTTTCAGGCGCAGCTCCTCTGGCCCGGAGAACCGACGACCCTTGAGCATTCTCGCTCCGACAGCTTCCTCTTCCCCCCATGTACTAGGTGGAGAATCCTCTATGGAGATGGACTTGGAGCACTGGCAAGGGGGAAAAGAAGTGGCTAGGAGGTGAGTTGAGAAAGGCAAACTGAGGACACGTTGGAGGAGTACGGAGCCGATGCTGGAGAAGCAGGTCCCACCCACACCACGCCCCTCCCGCAGCGGGTGGAGAGGGGTAGCCGATTCCCACCCGGGTCTTCCTCTGGGGTTCCCAGGTCTCACTCCTCTCCTGAAACTGGAGCTCTAAGAAGCAGCTGGGACCCCCCTCCTCCCATGGACACACACACACACACACACACACACACACACACACACACACACAC